TCACCCTTCAAGAAAGGACAAGCTATCTGCCCTTAGGAATTTGGAAATTCTACTAATTGAGTCATGGAACAAGTAATATGCTATGATACTGGGGTGACCATTGGACCTTTGGCTGTCATAGGAGAGACTCAAAGAGCTGGAGTGGTGAGTAGAGCAGGGGTGAGGGTAAGGGGTACACACAGTTCCCAAGAAAGCTTCATTCTCACAAGAGTCACTTCATTCTAGGTGGGAGGTGGCGCCGTTGATACAGTGATTTCCTTGTGATCATGGAGACCCCGCATCTGGTCTTCAGAACCCATGAGAAAAGGTGGGCCTGAGGCACACACTATAATCCTAGCACTGGGGAAGTGGAGGCAGGAAGACCCCTGCAGCTCACTAGCCAACCAGCCTAGCCCCTTGCTGAACTCCAGGTGAGTAAGAGGCTGGGTCTCAAGGGAAAAGCATATGGAAGCCACAAGACCCAAGGTTGTCCTCTGGTCTCCACGAGCACAGAAGAAGAGCAAGAAAGTGTGTAGTGGGGGGGGGGGGGGGGGGAGTGGGGGGGGGGAGTGGCTCACAAACATCAGCCTGTCTCTTTTACAAGAATCTTTCCATGATTTTTCAATTATCGGCTGAAATCCGTTTCCAGATGTTGGCCCCTTTACATCTTTGATTCCCTTTACCCAGATCACCCCTTCCTACAGTCCTCAGCAGCCCCAGGACAGTGGCAGCACAGATCCTGGTCGGTACTGCCCAGCTCCACACATCCTCCCCTGCTCTGCAGAAGCCTGGAAACTTGGAGGAACTCATCTGACATCCCATTCCTTCCGATCACATCCACCCTCCCCAGACCTCCCCCCTCAGACCACTTCCCCTTTCTTCTTTTTATTAACATGTCCACACTGTCGCTTGACACAAAGGGCTTCTTGAGGAACTCATTCCCCACGCTTGTTTGGGTGTCACACACTCAGAATGGAGATCCAGAGACACAAACACCGATTTTGTTGATTTATGAGGAGGCCTCACTGTTTCTGCTTCCCCATCAATATGAGCAGGCACAGTACGCCGGAGAATGAAGCATCTGCTTCCCCCACATTGCATTTGTGAACTTTAGCACCAGATGTAAATCATTCATAAAATCCCACCGTGGGGAGGTACTCATCTCTTGTCATCATTGTAGATGCACACTTCATGCACTGTACCTAGTGTCTTCTGTAGGAGCAGAGTTTTGGTGGCTCCCTGAAATATGAGTCCAGTAATAGCAGAGAAAGGAGAAGCCCACTTCTGGTTGTTCTAGAAGGCCCTACCATCCACTTGTTATTCTCTTATTTCTTCCGGGGAAGGACAGAAAAAGATGTCTCAGTCCATTGTCGAGAACCGATACTTCCACATCCAAGGAGTTGAAGGACTGAGAGCTATTGGCTCAGTGTTGGTCTCTTTGGTTCTTTGGGGGGTCTCTGATACATTTAGTGAAATGGATCTCAAAAAAAACCACAGAGAATATCTGCTTCCAGTTGGGCCACAACTGTGGGTGCTCCTTAGACATACCCTGTGACTCCAAGAGGATGTTGAGTTCCAGTCAGGGAAAAGAAAGGTGCTGTCTCCTCCTGGGACATCCATACTCCTGCTGTGCTGGCGCATGGCCAACACAGAGGCCAGGGAGTCCACTATGCACATCTCTTTGCGGATCCCATCTCCTTCAAATGCCCCACGGGTTTTCCACAGGAGTTTAGGTTGGAAGGCAGTCGATGGAGGGTCTTTTCCATCTTCTGGTCTTGTAGATACACGATCCGCATGGCTTCAAATAATCCGTGGAGTGACACAAAATGAAAACGGTCCAAGTGATGCATTCCAACAGTGAAATTTCCTGTGGCTGAGTTCCTACACTGGCTCTCATTCAAGATGGTTCAGTTAGTGAAGGGTCCGCCTTGCCGGCATGAGGGCCTGAGTTTGATCTCAAGAGAGGCAGCTAGATCTTTGAAGACCTGGGAGGGTGGGGACCGGCAGCTAGATCACTGGAGACCTGGCCAGAGTTCTAAGCAAGTGAGAAACTGGCCTTATTTCCTTCCTGTTGCCGTGATAAAATTCCCTAACAAAAGCAACTTTAAAGGATAAAGAAAGGGTTTATTTGGCTTACAATTCTATAGTCTGTCATTGAAGGGAAATCAAGGCAGAAACTTGAAACACCTATTCACATCACATCCACAGTCAAGAACAAGAGAGAATGATCACATGCATGCTCACTGAAGCTCAGTCTCCTCTACAGTCATACAATCCAGGAACCCCTGCCCAGGGAATGGAGCTGACCACAGTAGGCTGGGTCTTCCTACATTAATTAATATAATCAAGACAATCCCCATAAACATGCCCACAGGCGGACCTGATCTAGACAATCCTTCATTGAAGACTTTCTTCCCAGGCAACTCTAGTTTTAAGTTGATAACTAAAACTAACTCACACAGAGATCTTGTCTCAAAAAGAATGGACACCTTAGGAGCAACAGCTCACACACACACACACACACACACACACACACACACACACACACACACACACACACAAGCTGTGGTTTTCAACCACATAACTACCTTCCAACTGATTCCTTCCCATAAACACCATGCAAGATCCAGTACAGGAAATTGTCAGTAAGCAACCTTTCTGAGAAATACTACAGTTCTTAAAAGATGTGCAGAGCTCAAACACAGAGTAGCCATTGACCGATTTGTTCTGCCCAGGAAGAGGAGACCATCAGAGTGGGTTTTGAGGAGGAAAGAATCTTCAGTTACTGTCTACCGCAGATGTTCTCTGCACAGGTGTGAGATATCGTATAAAAGACATGCTGTCTTCTCAAATCTTCCCAGTCCTGCAAACTGCCAAGTTCTAATGTGGATACTACAGCAGCTGCCTGCTGTGTCTTCTTTTGAAGGTGGAAAAAAAATCTTGCATCGGCTTTAAAATCAAACAAACAAACTTAGATTCAGTAGGTTCTCCAGCCTCTCTCATGACAAGCAGGGAGGGGTAGGAGAGATTCCTGGGCACCTCAATCCTGACATTGTCTCTTAAACTGACCAGAATAAATGACAAAGAAGAAGGGGATATGGATGTAATCATCATGGCTCCGTGGGTGAGCTGAAAGGAGAAGATTCGGGACACCATACATTTAATAGGTCATTGAAATTTTAATGAGAAATACATCTTTGATCTCCCCCAGAACTTATCCCTTTATTTGAACATGCATTTGCATGCTCATCTATTGATCAACTCATTCATTCCTGATATCCCATTTAAAGATTCATTGACTTACAAGACAGGAATGCTGTACAAACACAGTGGAAACATCCTGCATTCCCTTCCCAAAGTTCCCAAAGATGTGGAAAATGTGTTGGTCTTAGTGTTCTGAGATCTAGGTTCAAGTGCATGATGCTTAGCTTTGATTGTCAACTCATCTAGAATCATCTGGGAAGAGTCTCAATAGGGGATTATCTACATTGGTTGGTCTGTGGGTATGTGTATGTGGTATTATCTTAATTGAGTCGGGAAGGGAACACCCAGTCCACTATAGGTGGCTCCATTCCATAGTCAGGGATCTTGAAGTGTGTAAGAGTAGAGAAACTGAGCCAAGCACAAGCAAGCGAGTGAGCAAGCGTGCAGTCATTTCATCTCTTGACGGTGGATATCACACGGCCAGCTGTTTGAGGTTCCTGTCCTGACTTCCACAACGATGAACTGTAACTTGGAATTGTGAGCTGATGTAAGCACCCTTCTCCTCGCAGTTATTTTTTGTCAGGGTGTTTTATTATAGCGACTGGAAACAGTCTGCTGCTCACAGTCAGTCCACAGGAGGTGGATGAACTGAGAATGCTCAGTGTGTAGCCTGTGCCCTGTTCTTTGTCTTCTCCTGCTCTGCAGTCCTATAATTGAGTGCCTTCGCTCATCCTCTTGTCTTTCATGACCGTCCCCTGCTCCCCATTTCTCCTCTCCACCCTGCCCTATTTGCCACGTTGGTTGCAGTGATAACCTTTTTGGAGCGTTTGCTCCTTACAGATCATGCTGTTGGGAGCTCTAGACACTCATCTCCTTGAGCTCCCCATGGGAAGGCAATGGTGGAAATCTGACCACCATTAGACTAAAATTTCCTAGTATTACTGGACTGGTCAAGGGTATAGCCTCCTGGAGCTAAGCCAGGGCTTAGAAACCAGAATCTAGACAGTTTATCCTTGTCTGATACCTCCCCTCCAGGCCTTTTTCCTCCCAGCGGTTATTTCTCTCTGTGTCTACTTCTATCCTTCTTTTTACACACACTTGGGTGTGCACACATGCATGCACGTGCCTGCACACGCGCACACACACACACACACACACACACACACACACACACACACACACACACACACACACACACAGAGAGAGAGGCAGGTAAGAAAATAGAGGACACCACCCAGCCTGTCTTGCAGATTGCACGGCATCTCCTTCCCTTCCTTAACCCTCATCCTCAGTACCAGGGTCTTTAGAACGAGGCCACCACGTTCCCTCAGATGCAGGTCCTCAGTTATATTTCAGTTTCACTTTCAGAGAGTAGGAGTGTAGCTCGGGGGTAAAGCACTTGCCTAGCACAGATCAGGCTCTGGGTTCTACCCCCCCACCCCGGGACTTCTCTCTAAAGAGAGCAGAGACATTTTCTCCAAATCTTTATTTTAACTTCTATATCTTCCATTCTGGTTTCTTCCTTTAGAAGCAAAAGTTGGTCCTCCCACCCCACCCCCACGCCCATTTACCCTCCGCCTTTTCCTTCAGATCTTTGCTCCAGGACCGTCCTCGGGTGCGCCCTCCACAGAGCTGACTTCAGTTTATTCCATGCCCATTTGCTCTTTTCCACCCAAACCTGCAGGTCTAACGTGCTCCTGCACGGCATGTCCTGCTCTTTTCTGACTTTTATCTCTCCATTTTTGCCTTGCTGCTGTCTCTCCAGGCCGCTTTTGTCTTTCCAGGGGATTTTTTTTTTTTTTTTTTTTTTTTTTTTTTTGGTTTTTCGAGACAGGGTTTCTCTGTGTAGCTTTGCGCCTTTCCTGGAACTCACTTGGTAGTCCAGGCTGGCCTCGAACTCACAGAGATCCGCCTGGCTCTGCCTCCCGAGTGCTGGGATTAAAGGCGTGCACCACCACTGCCCGGCTCCAGGGGATTTTTTGTTCTGGTTCCTGAGACCTTCTCCCTTCTATGCTGTTAAAAGAATATTTCAGAAACAAAAAGTAATCGTGGATGCGCTAAGGTGGCCAAGAGAAACGTCTGCTGTGTGTTCTGCCCACGTATGTGTTGTGTACATGAGTGTGGCTGTGTGCAGGAACACTCACATGTGTACGCATGTGCATGTGAGCGTCTGTGTGCACATCTGTGTATGTGTGAACATGTCTGTGGATATGTGTGCATATCTGTGCGTGTGTGTATATGCATGCATATAGAGATGATATGTGAGCATATATGTGTACAGATATGCAAGTAGATGTGTATGTATATGATCACATATGCATAGATATCTATGTGAATCTGTGAGTGCATTCATGTATATGCTGTGTATGTGTATATATGTGTGTGGATATGTGAAAGTGTGTGTGTGTGTGTGTGTATGTGTGTGTTTGTTGCAGAATGGGAAGAAACAGAGAAGCTAAATGACTTTCTAAAGAACAGGACTCTGGAGAATACTCTCTGGTAGAGCCAGGTTCTATGCTGGTGACCTTGTCCTCGTCACTGCCCACATCCTGGATACCTGCACCCTCGTCTTCCAGGCAGTCGGCTTGTTCTGCAGGAGGAAGAGCACATCAGGGAGGTGGCGAGCGGTTTCACAGGAAGCTTGGCAGCCGGCCGCGGAAGCACAGTGCCAGGAGTTTAGATGTCAAGATTTAGGAACTAAAAATACAAAGTAGATCTGCCAGGGGCAGATGCACAGGGGCTATTCCTATGGCAAAGGAACCTGCCAGAGGAGATGAAGCAAGAGTACCTGTCACCCCAGGCGTGGTGGGGCAGGTGGAGCATGTGTATCCAGCTCCAGCCTTCACTACGCTCCTTTTGGGGGCTGGGATGGAAGGGCCAGTTCTCCTCATAAGCTCCTGTTCATTCAGTGAGATACCCAGGACCTCACTCCAGGATGCTCAAAGGTTACAAGGAAGACCTTTACCACGCGCTCCATCCAGGGATGGCTCAGGGTGTTTTTGCCTGTGTTAGCTGCTGTCTGCCACAGAGAATTCAGTGTGGCTCCTGCTGTGCCTTCTGAGTCACCAACAAGATTGGGGTGCATCAGAAAGCTTGGTCTGGAATGAAATGCCCATATGGCTTGGGCAGCCAGGTCGCTCTATCATGGCATTTCAGCCATCCCTTTCTCAGGTTCCTCATCTAGTTTTCAGGTCCTCTGGATCATGGAGAAATGACCCTTGGCTCCTGCAGGTGGGGCAGGGAGGAAATAACAGCTTATTCCAAGAGTGACCGATTGTGACAAGTCACCAGGCTTGTCTCAAGGGCATGGACTGTTCAGTTTGGGGAATTTTAAGCATCACCAGCCAGCCACAACAATTTGACCAGCGCAGGGTCACGCCTAGGTAACCGAAGTGTATTGTATACTTCCTACTATAGTAATGATTAGAATATTAATAATAGCCATGAGGTAACATGCAGCCCTTCACGAAAGCCAACAGTGTTTTGAGCACTCTGCAAGTGACATACGTTCATCTCTGAGAGTTAAAGTCACTCCCATTTTCCAGATGAAAGGATGGAGATTCAGAAAAATGAGTTAGCTTTCTAAAGTTTCCAAAAGCAGTGAGGGGAGCTGGGTTCCAATCATGACGGTTCATACCTATGCTGAGCGTATCGGTTACTGCTCTCATCGGTGTGGCCAAGTTCCTGATGAAAGCGACTGGAGGAAGGAGGGGCTCTTTGGCTCACAGTTTGAGGGCACCCAGTCCATCATGGTGGAGCAGTCACAGCGCAGCAGCATAAAGCACCTGGTCACATGGCATCCGGTCAGGAAGCAGAGAGAGAATGCTAGTGTTCAGCTCTTGTTCTCCTTTTGTTCAGTTCAAGACCCCAGCCCTTGGGATGGTGCTGTCCACATTCAGCGTGGGTCTTCCTCTCTGGAAATGCCCCCACAGATGTGCCCAGAGGCGTCTCCCCAAAGATACTAATTCCTGTCAAGTTGGCAACCGGAACTAGCCAACCACCATACCGAGTGTTTCATGAAGCCCCAGCACCCTCTTGAGCAGCAGGTAAGCAGATATGTGCTAGCCCTGCATGAGAAGAGGCTGGAAGCCAGCAGCCAATGAGGCTCATGGGATGCTGCAGCCAGCCTTGAGTGCTGGGATGAGACCAGGAGAACCTGCAACAGAGGCTGGAGGTCCCTGGTCCCCCTCAGCCTCAGAGGCATGGCGAGGACAAATCGAACCCTCTCCACTCAGTTTGAAGCCTTGCCTATTAATGTTATTCAGAGCCTTTATGTGTTTGAAAATATTCCTCTTCATTATTCATATTGTGCCACAAGAATGATATATTTGAAGAAATTATCATGAATAAAGTGGCCAATTTAGCAGGGAGATTTACCAAGAAAATACTCAGTAAAAAAAATAGTCAGCTACATTTTCCGAGAGGGGAAGTGAAAACGCCGCTTGGATCTTCATAGTTTGAGAACAATGCACGTGGCGGGGGGACCCTGCTCAATAATGTTTCCTACAATAATTCTCAGGCAAGAGGGAAAAATTATTTCCAATAATGATAAAAGAGGAAATAAAGTGGCCTCAAGTCTAATCAAGCCTAGTTACGGGGGGGGAAATCGTTCTCTTCTCAGATTATTCTAAAGGAGTTTGGGGGAAGGCAGGCACGTGTGTACATTAAAAATAGAATTGCTAATAATCCTGTAAGCCAGTGTTCCGGGTTTGGGAGGCCAGATGGCAGGGTTGGAAGAGCTGAAGTCAGAAGCCCCCTTTCAAAGCAGCCGCATGCTCACGCTGCCATCCAGGGAAGTAAGCATTCCTGCCTGCCTCCAGCTCCTCACCCATCATGTGAGGGCTCACAGAGGCAATCCCTGGTGTCCTTGAGCATTCAGAGTCTCCCCACCAGCAGGAGGAGGCAAAAATAAAAGACTGACCCTGCTGGAAACCTGGGTTTGCAGCTCTTGCCAAGTGCCTGGCTTCCATCCACCAACATGGAGTCATTGGAGGTAAAATCAGTGAGTGTCAAGAGGCAGTTCTCCATCCCAGCACTTGAGAGACCACCCACTCCAGGTCCCTGGTACCAAGCTGTTGTTTGGGATGAACCTGTGCCACTTCCAGTGCCCACTTTTAAGGGTCAGGACTGCCTACCTGTCCCAGTTAGCTTTTTTCTGTCAATTTAACACATCTAGGTTTATCTGGGAAGATCATCTCAATTGAGGGATTATCTAGATCAGATTGGCCTACGGACATGCCTGTGAGGGATTGTCTCAATTGTTAATTGACGTAGGAGGGGCCAGTCCACTATGGGCAGTACCATTCCCTCGGCAGATGGTTCTGATCTGCATAAGAAAGAGAGCTGAGCATAAGCCTGCCTGCTACCCAGCAAGCAGCATCCTCCACAGTTCACACAGCACTTCTTTGACTGTGAAGTAAGTTCCTTGGTCAGAGGCAATGCTGTGTAGGGTAGCAAACAGGCCTGCCTTCAGGTTCCTGCCATGAGCTCCCCCAAAATAACAAACTGTAATTTAGCGTTGTATGCCAAATAAATCCTTTCATTTTGGGGCCAGGGTGTTTTGTCACAATAGAAATTAAACTAAAACACCACCCAAGCCTGCCTTGCCTTTCCCATAAAGGTCCAAGATTCAAGGAGCCCAAGTCCCCAGATAGCCACATGGAAGAGTCTCCCTCCACAGAAACACTACTTTGCACTGCTGGGTGACCTGGAAGTAATCCTTAGGGGCTCTAGCATCAGCATTCCAACTATCAGAGCAAGACCCAGGGTGCCATTAATAAAGCTGTCACTTTGCTCAGGGCCAGGCACACGAGGACACCGGTGTCCTTCCTTCTATAAGAAACACACTAGACGTAGAATACTAGAGCCATGAATTAATACAGAGTTAGGCCAGACTTTCCTTGGCACAGATAAGCTGCTCAGAGCAAATATCAACATGGGGACAAAACATGGTGGACAATCAAACACATTAGCTTTTGCAAAGATATGTAAGTTCTTCTTTTTATCACATAAGGCAGCCTACCTTCAAAGGCTGGCGAACTGCATACATCAACGACCAGGGCCATTAATAGAGTATTCTTAAAGTGCAGAGGACACTCCACACCTTGCCTGGGCACCTTCCCTCAGTGGCATGAATTTTATTCTTATCCTCATGATACACATAAAGAAACTGAGTCTTGGTTATGTCATCTGAGAATGACAGCCAGAAACTTGACCCTCCGATTCACAACCCGCACAACACTGCTCCCTCGCCGGTTTCCACAAACTCCAAGGGAACAAGAGGTAGTGGGGCAGGTAGAGAAATAGCTAGGTCAGTAACATGCTCTCGATGTGCAAGCATGAGGACCTGGGTTCTAATCCCCAGAATGCACATAGGAAGCCTGGCATGGTGGCACTCGCTCATAATCTCGGTGATGGGGAGATGGAGACAGGTGGGCCTCTGGAGCTTGCTGGCAGAACAGGGAGAGAGCTTCTGCGTAACAATGCCCAAGGTTGCCTGCTGGCCTCCACACATATGTGTATGCACACATTCAGAGAGAGAGACAGACAGACAGACAGACAGAGACAGAGAGACAGAGAGAGACAGAGGTAGAGACACAGAGAGAGACAGAGAGAGGAGAGGAAAGACAGACAGAGATGAGGGTGGAGAAGTCATTGAAATTGTCCTTTAAAGGGTCTAGGTCCCAAAATGCAAAGGGCAGCGACAGCCCAGCTCTGGAAGAGAAGTAGGTGCGTGGACACAGAGGGGCCCACATGTCTGGTGAGAGTCTGGGCCTGACTCCAACAATCAAAGAACCTGAAAATCAGTCTACAAAACCAGACAGGGCTCGGATAATTGCGCTCCTTTCCTGCAAACGACGGCGGGGCTTCCACTCCAAGCTGGAGCCATTCCACTGACGAGCTCAGCCTCCCTTCAAGAGTGGTTTCTCGCCACGACTCGGATTTATTTAAGTTCCACCATTAAAATGCAAGCCGGAATGCACACTGCCATCTCCATGGCGATGAGCGTCCTCAAAAACCAGCGCCAGTTTTAATGATTAAATTATCTTTATTTTCGGTTCTTCCATCTCCACATTTCCCCACACTTTAGTACTCGTTCAATAATTCAAGGCTTCTCCAAACACCAGTGAGGAGCCTGGCTCCCTAAGGTGGTCCTTTGCTTCCAGGAGCAACCTGTGGCAGGGACATCGCTTTAAACACTGTCACAGTAACAGTGCTGAGGAGCCGCTGGTTGAAACAGATGTAAGTCACAATTTACAACCCTCAAAGATTGAAAGAGACTGTCTTGAGTCCCCTGAAGTTCTGGGATGATGATGCTGGGATAGGGAGAGGTGGAGAGTGTGGTACCAAGGCCAGGTTTGTTTGCTGTTGTTTAATATTCTGCAGAGCATCCAGGAGCCAATGATGTGGTTTTGACAGCGAGTGTGTGGGTGTGTACCTGGGAGTGTGTACATGCACACATCTGTGGGTGGGCACGGAGACCAGAGATCACTCTCAGGTGTTGTCACTCAGGAACCATCCATCTTGCTTTTTGAGACAAGGTCTCTAACTGAAACCTAGAACTCACCAAGGAGGCTGTCCTAGCTAGCTTTGTCAGCTTGACACAGCCTAGAGTCATCCGAGAGGACACAGAGGAGAACCTCAAGTGAGGCCTCACTTAGATCAGACTGGCCTATGGGCATGCGTAGGGGTGATTGTCTTGATTACTTATTGATGCAAGAGGGCCAAGCCCACTGTGGGTGACACTATCCATACGAAGGTAGTCCTGGGCTGTATAAAAATGCTAGTTGAGTATAAACTAGTGGTTGAGTAATCCAGCAAGCGGTGTTCCTCCCTGATTTCTGCTTCAAGTTCTGGTCTTGGGTTCCTGCCTCTACTTTCCCCAGGGACTGTGTCCCTTTTCTCTCCAATGTTGTTTCTGATACTGTCCCTAAGGTAGAAAGGGAAGAATTGAGAAGGGAAGGCATCCTCCTTGACTGGCTGGGGATGGAAGCTAGATTTAGTTACAGATGCCATGGGACAGGTGGCAACAGGGCCCAAGACCACCAGGCATCAATCGACTCAGAGACTCATTCCAACTCCCCCTAAGTGGGGAAAGAGAAGATAATTCAGACTATGCAGAGAGGGCATTCTCCTAAGCTGCCAAGCCCAGAAGCAGTCAAGGGAACTACAGGAGACTGTAGAAAAAGCCAAACTTGACCAAGGTTGCTCATACCACCTACTGTTCTGCCCTGGACTGTATGGACATTAAGGACTTCAGATTCAATAGCTGTGGAAAGCAAGCAGCAGCTAAGCCAGCTTACACAGGCACAGGACCCCAGGTAGAAGGACTGAGGTTTATGTCTTAGCAACCTGAGGCTCTTTCAGCACCCCTCAAGCAAACTCTGTCCCTCGACCCACACTGTATCCTAGACATCCATTGTATAGGCACAAAAGAAAGCAGAACAAAACAAAAATCAGGTAAATCACTATGTGCAACTGGTAGGCGACGAAGGACGTTTTCTCAGGGAGGGCTGTTGGGTCACTGGCTATTGAAGGGTGAGTAGGAGTTGGTCCTGGCAAAACATGGAAGATGGGGGGTTCAATGTTGGAAAAAGAGCATTGAACGTGACTCGTGGGTCAAGCGAAAGGAGCAGAGACCAGAGCAGAGGAGAGCCTCAGGAGCTAACTGCAGCCAGGCTGCGAAAGGCCTGAAACAGGGTGATAAGAATCCAGTAGTCCCTCCGTCATTCACAGGAAATGGGGAAAGCGTGCTGTTTCCTTTGCCTCCTTTCCTTTTCTGTCAACTTGCATGGAGCCCCTGTGAGCAGTGGCGGGAGCTGGGGAGCTGCTGGCCTGCTCAGATGTGCTCAATAAACCAGTGCTGTGGACCTGGGCAGGCTGAAGTGTCTGAAAATCTCAGCCACAACCTAGCCAGGTGGCCAAGGGACACAGGCCCCTGCCACACAGTGGGGCCGAGGTGGAGTAAGAGGACTCACTCAAGACGGAGAGACTCGGCCGCCCCGTTGGTGATCACCAGGAAAGCCCAGCTGCTCAGATGATCCGTGCACGAGTTCACGGATCCTGGAATAGCACAGTGTCATCCCTCTACAAGGCTATTTTTAAAATGTACTCATCAGAAGTATTTATACCCCACGTCTTCCAATTTGAGAAAGAGAGAGAGAGAGAGAGAGAGAGAGAGAGAGAGAGAGAGAGAGAGAGAGAGAGAGAGAGATATTCAGGCAGCTGAAATGGCCAATGTGAAATAAAATTAATAAAACAGGACTTGAATTAAGAAAATGTGATTTTTAGCCGGCAAGTGGTAGTACCGTTGCTATGACACAGTTTGGAGCCAAGCTGTGAGTTTCCAAGTAGCCAAAGCAAAAATGGGAGTCAATACAGCACAGCTCACAGAGTCAGAAAGTAGTGAGTCCTGTCAGTGCTTCGAGGAAGACAGACACTTCGCTTGTTCTAAACTCAGAATAAAACAGCTCAAGTCAGAGGTTTAGGAAGAAACAGAACCCGCACGGCTTGGGGAAGCCTTACCTAAAACTTAGAGGCCTGACATTTAGAGCAAAGAGCAGATGAAGGGGGGTGTGATCAGTCCATGGGAATCCCCTGGGATCCCCAAATCCAGGCTGTTCCCACCCTGCACTGGCCGTGTTGCCAATTGTTAAATGCCAAGTTGCCTCCAGTCCCAGGGAGGCAAATGCTGGGTCCCAGAGGAGGAAGAAACCCACAGAGCTGGGACATGAGAAATGAATCCAGAAGACTCAGGTAGGACTAGCGTCCATCTGGTCTACCCGGTGTCTACTGCACAGGGAGCACTGGTAGGCAGCCAGAGCTCTGACATGATAATCTCTACAGGGCAGCAGGAAAGGGCGAACCTCAGTCCTGGCTCTGAGTCACCCGCTGAGCCACTTCATAACAGAGTCTTGGCCTCTCTGGGCTCCTTGCCTTCAGATAAGGAAGAGCGGTATGTGTGCCATAGTTTCACCAGATGTTGCAGAATGGTTCCTGCTGCGGTTATGTAATTCTTAAACCCACCAGTAGCACCTAAGAGTTCCCTTAACATCACACCTCCACTGACATTTGGTATTGCCAGACTTAATCCTTGCCAGTCAGAAGGGTGTGAAATGGTTATCTCATTCAAAATTGAGTAGGAGACTGGAGGGATCCAGATGACCTGAGTTTAGTTCTCAGCACCCATGTTGAGAGGCTCACAACTGCCTGTAACTCCAACTCAAGTGGTGTCCATCCACCTCCTCTGACTTCTTCCGGCACCTGCACTCCTGTGCATGTACCCGCCATACAGAGACGCAGTCAAAAATAAAACATTAATTAAAATGTGTCTGAATGGGTAATAAACATTGAGGTTGTCTGGCCAGAATGAAAGCAGGGGAAGGGAAAGAAAGCAAGACAGATTTGATGCCAGGATATCCTGTCATGTCTTATATGAAGATTCAGATGCCATGTGCACATCCCCAGCAGTAGCTTTGCCCCAGTGACCAACAAACAGGACTTCAGTGTGTCCTGGCAACAGGGCTGTTTGTGCTGGAGACCGTGGAGGCTCACCCTACTCCTACTGTTCTCTTCAAACTCACACCCACCTCTTTAGGGCACGTGCCTTCTGGTGTTCCACATTGGTAGGCAGAGAGGAAATCTACTCAGGGAAAGGTGAAGAGCTGAGGCACAACCTTCACGTGATCACGGGTGACCCCACATTGAATGTCATCCACATGTCATGACACTGTGCAATTCTGGCATGTAGCCTCATAGCAGGATAACTCCATCAGTGGCCAATGAACGCATTTTGGCTATACACTTAGGAAGTAAGAGAACTGAAGTTCAAGTCAGTGAGCCAGGTCCCTTCTGACCACTGGAGGTGCTTTTCAGCCACCAGATCCTGACCAAGAGGGCCACATGGTAGGAGCACCATCGGTCCGGCAGACAGAGCTGAAGATACACATGATTTCAACATGGTGACTAGATGCAGCCAGGTGCATGCAGCTCTCAACACATAGTGAGTGTTAATAAATGGCACTGTCCTTGTATTGCTGTGGCTAGTACTCAATGTCTCCCCTGCTCCTGTCTCCTGCCTTAATTAAAGGTAAGTGAGGGCCAAGAGACTTTCAAGTTCACAGTCCCTGGGCACTGAGTGGAGATAAAAGTAGGAAACCCTGGGGGTCGTTTCCATGTTTTTTCCAATCCTCGGAATCTGCCCCCAGGGACACAGCCTAAGCTCTGCAGTCCTGCTCAGGTCCAGCCACAACATTGTCTTCCAGGAGCTGGTGCTCAGCCTGGTGGGAGAGAGAACCCATGACTGAAGGTCAGAGTTGCTCTCAACCCCAGCACAGCACAGCCTCCCAGCTGCTCTGCTCACGTTGCACTTAGCTGTTCATGGGGTGTTGGCTGCATCCCCTGACCTGGCCCTATGAGCCCACATGACACTCCTGTCTTCTCCCCTGGAGTGATGTGCTGGCGGGGGCATTGAAGAGTTTAGTGACGAGGTAATAAAAGGGTCCTAAGCTGTGCCTCTGATGGAATCAGTCCTGCCTTCTCCCCACAGTCCATTCCCACCTGGACGGCTCCTCTACACCAGCGGGGAGCCCTGAAAGATACTGAATGGGAAGCTCACTGTGGCCTTCAATAGTGTTATCAAAGCACGCGCAAAGAATTTTGTTAAATTTGAATTTCAGACACACAGACATTTTTGTAGATGTATGTCCCAACCACCATATTACTTGTGGCATATCTGAAACTCCTGTGCTTTGATTTCTGAGCTTGGCCCACCCTGCCTTCCTTAGCTGTGACTTGGTGGGTCATTTCTGCTCCCAGGAAACTGTGATTTTCTGCCCAAGGAGCATCTCTGCAGCTTCAGCTCAGCCAGAGCAAGGCAGAGAGGTAAGCTTCCTGGGGACGGCTGTTCACCGAATGGCTTTGTATGGTGCTCTGTGAGACTTGGGTCCTTCGTGGCTCCTTGTTCTACACGGGGAACTGCTGAGATCTGATCAGAGGGACGTCACCTAGTGCTATATGTATGTGGGAATGTGCATTGCGTGTCTGTGTGCATACGTTACAGTATGCATATAATATATGTATATGTGCGTGTGTTTGCCAGTATGAATTTTATTTATGATTTTTAAAAATTCCTTGAGAATTTCATACAATGTATTTTGGTCACGTGGCTTTTGAGATTGTTCAGTTGACAGTGCCAGGGAGGAGGAAAAAAAAAAAAAAAAAAAAAAAAAACAAGGAAAGAATTTGCAAATGAAGTTTTGGAAGAGATGAAATGTGAGCAGGGGAAGGTTTCCACAGCCATCTAGAAAGATCCAGACACTGACTCAGCAGGTTTCTGCAGCCCAGTCACCGCTACCAAGCCAAAAGAAACTAGAGGCAGAGGACACGTGCTCCCCAACATCACAGGCCCTGGGACCCCAGCACTGGGCATCTGTGACTTTTCCTCCCTGCCTGAGTCACTGCTCTCTTGCCAGGTGTGTGGCCCAGTGTCAGGCTGCAATGTCACCCCCCACCTCAGCCCTGAGTATTGGGGACCAGCCATCTTCTATGGAGCCAGCAGCAAACCAGGCCGACCACATCACAGGGAGGCACTGAGAGGGAGGGCGCAGCCTGGGCCTCCCTCCCTCCCTCCTCGCAAGGCCACACCAGGCAAAGTGTCCAACTTGTAATAGGGGCTCAGTGAATCTTCTTCAGAGTCCCAAGCAAGAATGAGGACAAGCCGGCTCCAAGGCCTGAGATGTTTCCGTGATAAGGAGAAATAAATGGGCTTTTCAAAGACCACAGACACAGTTCTCTAGTAAATTCACTTTAAAGCATAAGAAGGAAAAAAAAAGAAAAAGAAAAGGAAAAAAAAAAAAGGCCCTCTCCATCAAATATCAAATGCCGCCCAGGAAAGAGATAAGGTTTAAAGCCAGTGCGGATTCAGGCTTATATTTATGTAGAGAAGTAATCAGAGCATCAAAGTGGAGGAAGAAAGTGGAAGGGTGTTAAGACAAATGAATTTTAAAAGCACACAATAGCAGCCCCAGATTCGCTTTCCCGTGCAATGAAGTATTTCAGAAGATTAAAAATGGTTATATAACTTCCAGAATCCACATTGTCAAAAAGATTTGTAACTCGATGTTTTCCGACCCAGGTACCAAATGAAAGAGTTTCATCTAGGTTTTTGATCCTGGCAATTTTTTTTAAGGTATAAAATATATTGAAATATTTAAATTGCTTGTCAAATGTAAACTTGCCCGTGTCCTGACACTTTTAAAATATAACGCGGCTTCAAACATCACTTCTCCTACTAGGGTTTTTTAAATTGTTTTATAATGCATTAATAGTGGAGATCAGAATCCAAAAGACCGGTATTTGTATATTCACATTTCCCCCCCTCATCCCCTGTAATTTTCAGAATGTAATTCTGCCCCCAGCTGGTTAAAACATCTCTGACATCAGAAAGAAATGAGAAACTTCTCAAGGTCCCCGTGCGCATTGGAAGGGCAAGGGTTTGTGTTTCACAAAGCTGACAGGTGCATTGGGGGATAAGGCACTCCCCAACCCAACCCCACCCCCACCCCCACCCCCCTCACCCCCACCCCCACCCCCACCCCAAGTAGATTTTATGTGTCTGTTGAAGCAAATGAGTAGTTTTTCTCTTTGTACAATCAAGGCATCCAGAATAGGGGCCAAGCATTTCAGGGAGGCCCTGGCTGCTTTCTTCTTAGGACTGCTACCATTAACAAGGTATTGATTGCCTGGCTGTGATGTTGGTTATCCCTGAATGTCAGCCCGTGCAGAGTGTTGATGACCACCTTCATCATTTGCATCCTGAGCACGGCTTTGTTTTCTTAATGTGCACACTTTTGCCTTTTCCATTAAGTTTGCTAAGATTTATTCCTACAAGGCCACATCCCGGCAAGGACGGCAATATGAGCATCTTCAATACTGAGAGAGCGCTCTTGCTCCACCCTGCCAGCATCTTCACCCCAGGCTCAGATGAGTGGCCAGGAAGCAGAGCTGGATACTCAGCAACAGCCAAGACCACTGACCATGGGGATGGCCAGTTAGAGTATCATTGGAGACTCTGTCTTTGGGACCCCTCCATTGTCAGCAGTGCTTTTGTGGATGGTGTGGACAGAAGGACCCCTATCTCAGCAAGGGTCTCTATAGAGCTCTCAGGGAAGAGATGAAACTGAGTTCTAGGCTGACAACATCCCAGCTCCAAAGGACTGACTGAAAAGAAGGACAGACTCCAAAGCCCAGACTCGGAGGTTGTCTCAGAAAGGCCCCGGGGAAAGGCAGTACCTGGCTCGGTGCGGTGGCCTGTCAACTGCACCCCCACCCCGCATTCTACAATTACCCTGCTGCACCTCTAAGGCATCAGAAACAGTAGTGTGGACAGAAGGTGGACCTGGGACAGGACGGTTAGGATCTGATTTCCTCTGTAAGCTCCCACGGATGACTATGAACGACCTTCAGGTCCTCAGCAGCCCCCTCCTTTTTATCACTGGTGAGGTTTTCAAAATTCAGATCGAGATTTAAAAGATGTAAAGTGTTCCTGAATGTGCTAGGGCAATCCTTTGCTCTCGAGGGAGGTATTTGAGGAAGGCAAACCTATTTTCTCCCAGTGTTTACACTTCCTGTAAAAGGCCAGACAGAGTCAACAGCTTAGGTTTTGCTGGCCAACAGCAAAGTCGAGAGCATCACATAAAGAAAACACTTATAAAACCAGACAGGGAAAAAATAATGTCCCTTTAAACCAAAAGTGGTCACAACACTTATAACCCCAGCACTTGGATGGATAAGGCAGGAGAATTATGAGTTTGAGGTCAGCCTGGGCTGCAGAGGGGCATCCTATCTCAAAAAGGCGGAACTAAAACTAACTAAATAGAAATCCTCAGGGTCTGGGGAGGGCTCTGTAGGTGAGATGCTTACCTCTCAAGCGTGGGGACCCAGGTAGGCAGATCCCCAGGAGCATGCACCTGTGACCGCAGAACTTCAGGGACCAAGACTGTCAGGTCTCAGAGTTCACCAGCCAGCCTGTCTAGCCAATCAGTAAGCTCCAGGTTCACTGAGAAACCTTGTCTCAAGGAACTAGGGTGGTGAGCTACACAGGAAGATGCCCACTTCTAGCCTCCATGGGCATGTGTACACAGGAACCACACACAAACAAAAAGAAACCCTCAATTTTCATTAATAAAGTTAAAAACATAATGATCATGATGCTTTCACACAGGTCCACATATCAGAATGGAAATCCTTCTTTTAAAGTAATGAAACAAAAACTTGAGGATGTGTCCTATCATCAAATCAAGCACAAGTTCACTGCAAAAACTATACTTAGCTCGAAAGCTGAATAAAATGAGTTCTACCCAGGTTTGCCTGTTGACCATGCTGTTGGTATAATAAGGAGGATGCTCAGGCAGCCTCCCTGTCCTTGTCATTCTCTGCCTGTCCCAGCAGGTCCTCAGGTCTCAGGATCTATCCTTAGTGCTCAAATCCCACCTCCCAACTCACGTGCTGGGGCTCAGTCTCCAGCTCAAGGGCATCATGAGGCAGAGAAGTGAGGAGGGTGGAGCCCTTGAGAATTAGATTTGTGCCCTCAAAAAAGAGGCCCAAGGAGGAACTTATTTGTTCCTGTTGTCACCAGAGGACACAGTAGAAAGTGGCTTTAAGACAAAGAGCATGAGTCACCAGACCTAAGGCTGCTGGTACACAGACATCCCAGGCCTCTGGATCTGGATCTGTGAGTAGCACATCTCTGCGGTTGTCAGTTACCTGGTCTGTGCATTTTTGTTCTAGCTGCCTGAACTGATGAGACCTTGTTCCTCCGTCACCTCTTCTGGGAAGGCTTCTTGGATTTTGCCTTGTCTAGAGAAGATGTTGATGACAAAGTGTTCTAGAAAACGCTACAAAGGAACCATGGACTCCTGGAAGGCAAGCCTGGGCTTCTTATTCAGCTTATTTGGTGGATATAGCCTGAGTCCTTGCAGAGCTAAGGTAAGTCTTTGGGAAAGGAAGGAGGGGGGAGTAAGCCCTGGGCTACATCAGAAGCCAACCCCGTGCTTACGCACTCACGCTAGCGCTCTCTCTCTCTCTCTCTCTCTCTCTCTCTCTCTCTCTCTCTCTCTCTCTCTCTCACACACACACACACACACACACACACACACACACACACACACACACCAGCCCACTACTGAGTAGGAGCTGAGTTGAGGAGCATCAGTGAATACCAGCCCTCCCAGTGAGCACAACTAGCAAGACTCTTCTTCTCAGCATCAGCTCAATGAGCCACACAACACAGAAGAGGGATGCTGCTCCCTCTCCACCTCGCAGATGGGGAAGACTGAGGGAAAATGGCATGGGCAAGGCTCCATGGCTAGCCTGTAGTGCAAGCAGGATACAAACCTCCCATCTCTCTCTAGACCCTACCCATGAATCTCCTGGCCACGATTCCCAGCTAGGACTCTGCAGGTGGCTCTTCACCTGTGTTTCCTCTCACTTTTACAGCTGAGGCAGCTTCCTGGATGTCACCTCTTTATTCTCCTATCCCCCAGTGCTGCGAGGTGGAAGGCAGACTCTGAGAGTGTTGTCTCTTGTTAAAGACTGTTATTCCCCAACTGTCTCACCTCGATGCTAGGACTCCTTTGCCTGTTGACCCAGAAGATGGAAAAACAGATCTCTGAACCATAGCTCTGGAGGAGCACCTTAGTAATCAGTGGGGAAACTGAGGCCTAGAGATAGAATCCCTGAGGCTCTTAGTTGAGATTAGGGGCTAGACAGTGTCTGTTTTCAGAAGCTGCTGTGCAACTTGATACTCAGTCTGCCATGCCCAGCTGAGGGGGACTTATAGGGTGTGGCAGCTTGAGTGAGAATGGCTCTTTTAGGCTCATACATTTGAATGTTTGGTCCCTAGTTGGTGGAACTGTTTGGGAAGGATGAAGAGGTGTGTCCCTGTTGGAGGAAATGTGTGATTGGGGGTGATAAATTAAGGTTACAAAAGCCCATGCCATTCCTTGTTATCTATCTCTATATCAGGTTGATACCAAGGTCTACCCAGTGAGATGCCAGCTGCTGAGACCACAGACACTCAGCAGTCTTTGTCACTTTCACCTGCTCACATGGCTGGAGACCAGAAATGTGCTCTCTGCATAATAATGGAAAGTCCGCCGGGCGGTGGTGGCGCACGCCTTTAATCCCAGCACTCGGGAGGCAGAGCCAGGCGGATCTCTGTGAGTTCGAGGCCAGCCTGGGCTACCAAGTGAGTTCCAGGAAAAGGCGCAAAGCTACACAGAGAAACCCTGTCTCGAAAAACCAAAAAAAAATAAATAAATAAATAATGAAAAGTCCATCTGTATCTGAAGATGGAGCTGGAAGTAAAAATTGGAGGTGATGGGGGCCACCTTCTGCGGACAGTGCCTAGGACCAGTGGATTAGAGTTCACCAGATGCCCATATCCTTGTCCCAGACTGCATCCTCAGAACACACCCTAGAGCAGAGCACAGAGATCAGCCCTGACCTGTGGATGGATGGATGGACAGGTGGATGGATGGATGGACGGATGGATGGATCAGAAAAAATGAATATGTGGTACGGCAGATCTGGAGTTTCCAATGTTACCCCAAGGGCAGTGGGAGGATGTCCTAAACAGCTTGTGCCCACTGGGAAGCATCTCAGCAGTAAAAGACAAACGTAATAACAAATCCTTTTCTACTACTTGCTAGCTGGTTGCTCTGGGCAGGTACATTACCTCTCTGAGTTTCAGTTTCCACAGGAAACTGAAGGATTAAGTGAGGTATCAGGTCACCTTGTTGAACACACAGGGGCTTCCCATGTCTGCATTCTTCCCCACAACCCAGTGTCTCATGAGTTTGGGCTAGGAGCTAGCAGCTAATGAATGAGGTCTAGTCAGACATTGATAGTGATAAGGACTTGGCCCTCAAGGACGTTGATTTGCATTTTTCTAAAGGCTAAAGATGTTGAGTTTTGCCGTGACCTTGCACAGCTTAGAAATGGACTTAACCAGGGCCAAGAGGAAAGAAGAAATGACAGCTGTACATACAGAAAAGCTGGGATTCCGTGGGCCTTGTCTCTGATGGAGATGCACCAACAGCAGCCTGGAAACTCAGCATGCTTGTTTCATCATTGAAGAAGCACTTTTATTGTATACTGCTGAAGGAGGTGGCCGATTCAGCTAATCTGGGGGTGGGGGTGGGGCTCTGGAGGAGCGCCCTCTTGAGCTGCAAACAAGTTGCAGGGGGAAGCTGTCCTGGATGGTTTGCCATTTCCCTCAGCCTGACCTGGGGAAAGCATCACCATTCCCGTGGGTCTGAGGCATTGGCATCCTTGACACAGTCATGGTCATGTCAACAGCACACATTTACCCAGGCCTCCCTCTGCTCCCCATGGGGTTTTGCCCACATTCGATGGCCATTTGTACCTCTTCTTTTGAGAAGGTTCTGTCCCAGTGATCTGCCTATGTATTGATTGAGACCGTGTTCTCTTATCATTAACTTTTTTACTTCCTTAAACATTCTTGTTATCAGTCTTCCATGAGAACCACTTGAGAGCTTTTCTCCTGTTCTGTGTGATGCTTGTTGCTCTGCAGATTCTCCCGTTTCAGTGTAGAAGCTTCTTAAGTTGCAGACAAACCCACACCCAATGTTACACGGAACAGGAGAAAACTGAAATCATTTCCTGTAAATTCAGAAATGAGATGAGGCTGTCCATCCTCCCTGCTCCTACAGTATGGTTCTCAAAATTTTCACCAGAGCAATCAGTCAAGAGAAAGAAAAGAAAGATATACAGCCAGGAAAGGGGGAAGTCAAATGTTGCTTTCTGCGGATGATACAATTCTATACATAAAACCCACCTAAAGACTCTCAGAAATTATTTTTTTAAAAAAAATCAGCCAAGTCACAGGATACAAAATCAAAATATTAAACATCTATAGTTTTCCTATACATCAACAATGAACTCACCAACAAAGAAATCAAGAACACAGTCCTATTAATAATAAAATAATAAAAACTGACCTAGAAAGAAACCTAACCAAGGAGGTACAAGAGTTTCACAATGGAAGTCATGAAACGAGGTAACCCATGTTCGTAGACAGGGAGATAATACTGTAAAAGTGTCTACGTTACCAAAGGCTAGCTACAGATCCAATGCAATTCCCATCAAGATACCAATAACAATCTTCACAGACTAAGAAAGAACAATTCTAAAATTCACATGGAAAGACAAAACACCCGAAGTATCCAAAGCAATCCTAAAGGAGAAGAACAGTGTTCGAGGCGTCGTAATAGTTGATCTCAAATTATGCTACCGAGTCCTACTGACACAAACAGTGTGGCGCTGGCACAAAAACAAACAGATCACTATTTCTGAACACACCAAACACATGAGCTTCTTGGATCTTTGCATTGGCTCTTTCCTCTGCCAGGAAAACCCTTTTACAAGTATCAACAGGCTTGGTCCTACTTCCTTTTGAACTCTATTCAAATATCACCATATCCAGTAAGCCCCCCATCCACCCTCATGGTTCTCCTTACCTGAACTGCTGTCTCTACGGCTCTCAGATTCATCTGTAATTGGATGATGTGTCAGCTTGCTTCTTACCAGCCTCTCCCACAGTGGAAAGGAATAGTATCTGAGGTCTGGGAAAGCGTCTGCTGGCTGCCATTGGTGGGCTGCCTAGACCTTTCTCAGCTATATAGATGCAGGAAACAAAAAAAGGAAAGAGGGGGGAAGGGAGTGGGAAGGAAGGATAGAGGAAGGAAGGAAGGAAGGAAAGAAAGAAGGAATGAAGGAAAAAAGGAAGGAAGAAGAGAGGAAGGAAGGAAGGAAGGAAGGAAGGAAGGAAGGAAGGAAGGAAGGAAGGAGAGAGGAAGGAAGGAAGGAAGGAAGGAAGGAAGGAAGGAAGGAAGGAAGGAAGAAGAGAGGAAGGAAGGAAGGAAGGAAGGAAGGAAGGAAGGAAGGAAGGAAGGAAGGAAGAGAGGGAGGGAGGGAGGGAGGGAGGGAGGGAAGGAGGGAGGGAGGGACAAACAGTGCTTTGACGCTTTTGGAGCGGATCTATCTTTGCAGCTTATCTAAGATCTTGAAGCGAACTTCAGAGACATTCTAACTTTTCCTTTACAACAACGATTTCTGTAATACTTTCTCTTTGTTCCAATTATTCTTTTTTTCTCTGTCCCTCCAACTTTGTACGCCCCGCATTTGGAGTTTGATGGAAGTGCACTCCCTGCCAAAACTTCAACTTGCAATCTTGTTGTCTCAGGCATCCCGAGGTTGTACAATAACCAAATGTCTTTGTTCTTGCGATGAGAGTATGCATCAAGAATCAAAGAAGCACAAGGAAAAGGAACGTTCCAGGCTATTACTGTAACAATCCAATTACAATGCCTATCAAACTTAACTTCACAGGTTATAGCCCCTAATTGCCTGACAAAAATTGACACTTGAGTCGAAACAGCATAATATAATCAGAGTCCAAATTAAATTTGATCGTGGGCAGAAAACGATGCTATCATCCGAAGGCATGGGAACGGGAGATCAACTGGCGTGATACCGGGGATCAGAAATGAAAATTATTCATTAATGGCAATGCGTTTCCGATAATGGAAAAGACACAGTTCAGACGGCTTCGTAAAAACACTATTAATTAAAAAGATGATAGACCTAACAAGCCATAGAAACCAGAGGGCTTTTTTGGGGGTATGCTCATTAGGGTGAAGGATAACATCGTGTGAGAAGGAAGTCGATGTTCTTTAGTGAGAAGTGCTTCGTTGACGCAGAAGCTGAGTTTACTGGCCGCTGCTCTGTGGAGTGGTGTTCTCCTGGGGGCTGTGTTCCGGGGCCGTAAAAAAGAAAAAGGAAAGGCAGTCTTTGGCCACATTATGGCTGTGCCGTAAGTGCAGTAGTGCCAGCTATAAAACAGAAGGGGCTCAATTCATAAAAGAAATGCTCGGGGGAGTTCACATACAATAAAAGGAGATGAGCTGCAGAAGCTAGGGAGTCATGTGTGTGCATGCGTGTGTGTGTGTGTGTGTGTGTGTGTGTGTGTGTGTGTGTGTGTGTGTGTTTCCAGGGGAGTGGGGAGCACATAAGCTTGTGTTGTCACCTTGCAAGGTCTGTGAGATTTCTAGCTTAGGGACTAAAATACACAGAAGGACAGTCAAATATAAGAGGGCATCAGACAGAGGGACAGACTTCTGAGGGGGGGAAAAGGGGGGCCTGAATGCATGGCTCGGTAGTTAAGAGCGTTGGCTGCTCTTGCAGAGGACCTGGGTCGGTTTTCAGCACCCACAGGACAGATCACAACCACATGTAACTCCAGTTCCAGGGTGCCCAGTGCCCTTTACTAGCCTCTAAGGGCAGACATGAAGATGGTTCAAATATACAGACAGGCAAAGCAGTGGAAAAAATGATTCAACTAATCAAACATTCAGTCAGTACTTAATGAGCACCTTCCATGCTTTTTCCCTGTTTTTGTGATCAAATAATGACAAAGGCAAGCTGGCAGAGCCCCATGACCAGATCCCCTCTTGAAGAGCCCGCCTCTCCACCCTGTGGCAACGAGAGCAGATTCCAACACATGAGCCCAGGAGAATACTTTTAACCTGAAGCTGACCAAACCTCTCTCGAGTCAAACAGACATGTGATTGCCAGATGATTCCTAAGAATGGGAAGTCTCCAGCAGAAATGGACTGGCCCAGGTGGCCTGGAGCAAACACTGGCTTCCCTCAGTCTGGTGCTCCATGCAGCAGGTAGCTGGGGACCTGAGCACTGATCTGTGGATCTCTAGGGAATGTGGGATCCACTCCAGGGCCTGTACTTGGCAAAGTGTCTGGCACAGTTCCCTGTAGGAACCTGATTCTGAGTGCTCTGGAATTGGCCTCTACTTCATGGTTAATGGTAAGCCAACTCCAGGCTGAAGCCATCAACCAGAATGAGAACAGCATGGCCTCTTTACCGCGACCTGCAGCTTCTACACACCCAATACCATTTGAATCAAGTTTGCCTGCCAAGTCTACAGGCCACAGAGGCGGGATCTGATCCCACACAGCACATGGTAACACTCACAGAATCCAGGTGATGTGCACTTATCTCCACAGCTGAGGTAACGGGCCCTCAGAGAGGTGAAGGAAATTCTCTGAAGTCACACTACCAATGAGAGGCATAGCCAGAGTTCAAAGCATGGTGTGTTCCTCCTCAGAGCCCATGCTTTGTTAAAGGAGACAGAGTCATGCAACTTCTGCTTTGGTGGCTTCCCTGCTTCCCTCCCATCCTGCTCACTCTTTCCAACTCCCTCTGCAGTATCTGTTCAAAGCCTGTTGATCCACGTTTGCTGCTCATCCCTCTGCTTCTCCCTGATGGTGTTTTCTTTCATCTGGGCCCACTATAACTTTAGCTCACATCTGGCTCTAGCCCTTAGTGGCCCAACACTGGCTAGGATGCCACTTGAACTGACCAATATGTCCCCGGAGAGAAATGGAGTGGGTACTTCCATGTCATCTGCCCAAGAGCTCAAATGGCCCAAGGTCACCAAGTCCCAAGCAGAAAGACAGAAGCCTTAGCCCATTCTCGTAGCAAACACTGGGTGTCAGTGGACTCTACAGAGGCCCAGCACAATAGAGAGGCAATTCCTTCCAGTCCAAGCACGCACTCAAGCTCTGGGTCCAGCGGCACAAGACGTCTGGGACACTTGTGACATGTGTCACTCGTTCACACCACCATTGCTCATTCATTCATACAGTACTTGGCAATCTCCCACTATGAGTCAGACAGTGCCCTTACTGGTGGCAATGTTCACCATGGTGAACAAGGGAGGAGTGGCCCCTGCCCACCTGAGGCATCCATACCTAGGGAGGAAACAGAGTAAAAACCCATAAATAATGTCAAGGGAGAATGTTCATAATAAATCCTGTGAATGAAATGACCAGCAAGTATATTAGAGGCTAACAGAGCGTCCGGTAGAGGAGAGTGTGGGGCAGCCTCTGGAAGAAGGCATTTTCAGAGCTGAGCTGTCACTGCGTGTATTAACACTTACTGGGAGTCCCGGGCCACCTGGCTTGAAAGGGCAGGAATGTTTGGAAAGTCAAAGGATGCTCCAGTCAGTGGGGTGTCCTAGGGACAGACATCAGACCACATAATAAACCTATGTATTAGTTACTTCTCTCACTTCTGTGGCAGAGTACCCGAGGTGGCGGGGGGGCGGGGGGACACCTTAGGGAAGGGAAAGAGTGTATTTGAGCTCAGTTTACAGACAGAGTCCGCCCTGGAGGGGAAGGTGTGGTGGCAGGAGAGTGAGGCAACTGGCCGTGTTGTCTCCATGTTCAGGTCGCAGAAGCATGAATGCTGGTACTCAGTTCGATTTCTCAGTTTCTCCCTTTTATGTGGTCTGAGACCACAGCCCATGGAATACTGTTGCCCACGGGTAAGATGGGTCTTCCCACTTCCATGAACCCATTCTAGCAACTCCTTCACAGACACCTCCAGAAGATGTGTCTCCTGGGTGACCCTAGAGTCTGTCAACTTGACAATATTAACCACTGCAACCTGACTTGCAACCGAAGGTCCTCCAAGCCCAGAGTTCTCCGCCCCAGCACTCTAGTTAAATCTATCCACGTCTTCTCTGCAGTGCCTACTTACTCTCCGGTCACCTTCATGTGGAGTATCTCTTTTCTCCTCGGAGTCCTCCTACAGTCTAGAAGCCAGGGGTCTTTTTGTTTATTTATTTATTTCCTTTTTCGGGTGTGTGTGTGTGTGTGTGTGTGTGTGTGTGTGTGCAATTTGTAGGCCAGCAGTCAACCTCAGGTATCATCCCTCCGGAACCACCCACCTTGTTTTTTTGAGGCAGGGTCTCTCCTTAGCTTGGGCTGGTGACTCAGCTAGGTTGTCAGCAAGCCCCAGGAATTGCCCTCCTCAGGATCGGGATTCCACGCCCAACCCGCTTTTCCTCGAGTGGGTTCTGAGGATTTCACCTGGGGGCCCACGCTTGCACTGCAGTCACGTCACCCACCGGGCTGTCTTCCCAGCACCGAGTTTTCTTTTTGATATAAATAGAAGGAATGAACTCCAGATGACAAGAGGTATGGATGCTTGTGGACCTCGGCAAGCAGGACGCTGTTCAGGTGCTGTACTTGGATTTGACTGGCAGCGCGCTAAGGGAGTGGGCACCGGTATTACAGATGTGAGAAATGTGCTGTTGCGACATCAGTCAATGATAGGAATTTTTTAACTTCAGAGTAGTCTCATGGGACCAAGCCTGCACGCATCATCCATCCACTGCTGACTGAAAGTATGGGTGCCCATGTGGCTAGAATTCAGCGTGTGCAAGTGAGCCCAGAGCAGATTCACTGTCATTCAGCCTTAGGGGCTCTGAGGTGCTCATTAGGATGCACTGTGCAGGATGGGCGCACTCCCTCCCTCTCCATGTTCCCACCTTCTGGATGGAAATGGTTAGAGAAGAAGAAAGGCGACAATTTACTGCAGTGGAGATTGTTTTAAAGAATAAAGCTACGGGCCCTCAGAATCCCAGGAGAAGCTGTGCTGATGACTGAGAGAATGACCGCCTCCATATTTGACTGGGACATCTTCGTTTCGAAGATAACACTCTACTAAGGAAGTTCAACTACGACTAAAAGCAACTATCTTCAGCCCTTCCCCCGACTCTCCCAGCTCAGAGTGATGGCACCCTCAGGACCCTCCCCTCTTTTCCTGTGGGTTCTTTGTGGCCTCAACAGCAGCTGATCTTCCTCCTGCTTCTCGCCTGACTTCTGGCCCTATCTGCTCCCATTCCTGAATACAGGCCTTCCTAGCCCACAGGGTGCGCTGCCACCTCTCTGTTCTCTCCCTTGTCACGCTGCCTGACTGGTAGAAAGACTGTGTGTCTTCTAAAGAAGGCCAG